TTATGGGCATGTCCACACATAATCTTATGTCACTGTAGCAACACGCTACAGCGATGTAGTATCAGTGGGCTAAACTGTAACGCTGCAGCTAGGTCGCTGTAGCGACGCACTCCCTTGGTACATTGCATCTCTATGGCGATGTAGTGGCTAAAAATAACCCCACACTGCATGGATGGCACAGTATGGGCTGTTATTGGGCCATCATGTAGTACTTCCTTTTGAAGAGGGGCACACATAGACTGGCCCTGTGTGATGTAATTTTTCATTGTCTAGTGCCAAAAGTCTGGGGTTCAAATCACACCCATTAAACTTTACAGAACTTTGAAAGACTTAATAAAAGATATCCGCATATACTGGGGCTGGACATCACCTGAAGCAGGTCACATGTCATGACAGTTTCCATCAAGCAACATAACCTCTTGTTTGATGAAAATCAAATCAGGGATCTAAATACCTCTCTTGGTCAGTCTCAAATCAGTATAGATTTTTCCTTGTATGGCCATGAGGAAATAACCTCTATTGCTTAGATGTGAGCAAGCTGCAACTAATGCAGCTCCATCCAGATGTGTAGTGATATCCCTCACATCAGGTATTTTGTTTCATTCCTTGACAGCAGTGGTCCTCCCCCCAGTTAGCAGTTAGGTTGTGTGAAACATACAGCCTAAACTTCAAATACTTCCTTTCAGAATAAATCTTCATCTAGATTCATTTCAATGAGGCTTATTTTCCAGCCTCAGAAATGTGGAAAAAAAAGTTAAGGAATGATAAATGATTCAATGTCTCCTCTAAACATGAGCTGTGTTTTGGTACGCAGATGCAGTAATGAGCATATTAGAACTAATTCTGCATTACCTAGCTAGATATTCTATGCAATACTTTACATTACATGACAAAGTGGTGTATATGTGGCTTTAAGAAAAGCACTGTGTTAGAGGTAGTTCAAGATGTTCACGTGTTTCATGAAATGCAAAGTAAATGCTGTATCTATATAAAAGAAAGCTTGACTTGTGCGTGGTATACGCATATATAGCATGCATCCATACCATGCTTCCTTGGTATACATATTCAATATATACCTTGATTTCCTTTTTGTTTTACTATTTTAAAATACTTTTCAAGTCTAATGTATAAAGCCCAGCACGTGGCTGGGTTGGATTCTCTGGTCCCAACCCTTTGGGAGCGCTGAGTGAATTTGTGCCTCTCTAGCATAAGGCTGGCCTAAAGTTGGCTTACATGGCCATGGGAGGAGCCTCTGAGCAGAGAGAAATCCTCCAGTACCATGGAGTTGATTTAGTAGCTCCTATGCAATGCATCTTTCTGACTGAACTAGGGTTGAGGTGTTTCTAGAGGAAAATAGGAATGGCTGGGTCTCTGTAAATCTTCAGCTGCTCTAGGAGTCCCTTGAGGTCATTAGCAAATGGCATAAACTACAGCAGCCCTCTCAGCCCTTTGAGTTATCTCAGGAGAGTAACCTATGTTCAAAGGAGAGGAAGCACAGCTTAGAAATATCTGTTTCCACTCTACATTGCACTGATTGCTCCTGGATAGTAGTCAGGGGGATTTGTGGCTCTCATAATTACATGTGCCTGTGCTGGGTGGACAAGTGGACAAATGATCAGAGGGTTTCTTGCCCTCATCACTTGTGGCCATACGTGAGGAGAAATCCCTTGATGAACTTCTCAATAATATTAATAATTCAAGGTTTTAGTCTTAAAAAAACCTACTACCAGCATAATTCTGAAATATATATGCTGGAGTTTACCATGGGATATCAGGGAAAATTGCTAGACTATAATGAGGCAAAATGCCTTCAGTGGAGTTACGCCACAATTGAATTTATTCTATTACACCTATTTCTGAGCAAACCTTCTTTTTCTCCAGAAAATGCAGTCAGTAGTCCCAAGGTAGCTGTGTAGTTGTTGAATCAAAGAATTCAGAAATAAATCCATATTATTATCTTAGTATTTCTTCCTTACCTTGTTTGTAGATGAAATTCATGCAGACTTCAAGTAGACTCTTAATCTGGTACAATCATCCCTTTAATGCATTGCCACACAAAACTGGTGCCAACTCTCACAATTTTATCATGAGACTTTTTCATAAAGTCCTAGCTCCTGGTGTTGTGAGAGTATAAGAGAGATAAGCTTCCCCCCCCCAGTAGATTTTTAGCCCTCACAATTGCAGAGAAAGACTTGAAAATGCACATCCTAGTGGTTTAAAACAGTCAGTTACAAATACACATTTATTTTTCAAAATTGCATGATTTCTGAGATCTTGCCCTCAGGGTTTTGAGCTGTTGGGGCTGGCATTTCTGCTACAGTGAATTTAAAAATAGTGCCCTTCGCAGCTCCTGAGAAGAGTGATCAAACTGTAGAACATACTGTAAGAGAGATCAAATCTAAAAGGAAATAGAAAAAGGGATTTAAAAGTCTTCTGAGGCACATTTTCAACAGATAGCAGTAATGTGGAGTGCAGAGCTGAGGCTCGCAGCCAAATTGAGACCAGGGCTATTTTAGCCTTCTACACATCTAGCCACGGATTGGGAGTTCTGCTGCAGAAGCACGTGAGCTGTTACCTGGAAGCAGTGTTAAACAAGTGCAGAGCAGCAGCACAGCGAAGCTAGGCAAAACTTGGAAACAGTTTACCAGAGGGCTAAACAAAGTACCCAAGCTATGTCGGGTACCCAGAGAGCAGAGGGGGCTGTGCCTCCTGGCTCTAAGGGCCCCAGAAGCCTTACCTCGGACTGACGTTCCCCTGGTTTTGGTGTCTGGAGTTTCTCACCCTCATCACTTGTCCTTCATTGTGGCCATGCCCAGAGACTCTGAGCCACAGTCATACTGGTTGCTGGAGGACATGGACCTTCCCCAGGAGCACTGCAGGTTGGAGCCCCTCTTGCGGAAGGACGAGGTGAACTTGTAGAAGTTGCGGTGCCGGTTGCGGAGGTATTCCCTGTAGTTCTTGGTGAGCAGGGTGTACAGGAAGGGGTTGATGCAGCTGTTGCTGTAAGTCAGGCAGGTCACCAGGTAGTTAATGCACTTTTGGGTTTGCAGAGTCAGCTGCAGGGAGCTGTTGTAGAGCCGCACCAGCTGCCAGATCCAGAAGGGCAGGAAGCAAGCCCAGAAGACCAGCACGATGGTGAAGATCATGATGAGCACTTTCTGGCGGGGGGAACGCTTGTTCTCCTTGTGGGGCGGGTTCCTCTGGGACTCCAGGTAGGTCCTGGCCAGGCGGGTGTACAGGTAGCCGATGATTATCCCTGGGGCCATGATGCTGGTGCTGAACAGCACGGTCAGGTAGGTCCTGTAGGCATCCACGCTCCAGGTCGGGGCGCACATCCTCTTCACCCTGCCCCCCGCCTTGCCCCCCTCGCTCAGGGTGACCATCAGCATCATGGGCAGGGTGAGGAGCAGCGAGACGGACCACACGGCCCCCGCCGTGGCCTTCCTGTATCCCTGCGAGCGCTTGAGGGTGTCCAGGGGCCGCGTGACGGCCAGGTAGCGCTCGGCGCACATGAGGGTGAGGGTGAAGATGCTGGCGTGCATGGTGAGCAGGTCCAGGCTGAGCAGGAGGCGGCAGCCCAGGTCGCCGAAGTACCAGTCCTGGGCCAGGTAGGTGCACACCACGAAGGGGATGGTGGAGAGGTAGAGCAGGTCGGCCAGCGCCAGGCTGACGATGGAGCTGTACATGGGCGCGGCGCAGCGCGCGGAGTGGCACATCACCGCCAGCGTGTACACGTTGCCCGCCACCCCGGCCACGTACATGCAGGACAGCAGGGTGCCGAAGGCCGCCGTGAGGAGCAGGTGGCCGCCCCCGCCCTCCGGCCCGCCCGACGCGTTGCCCCCCCCCAGCCCGGCGGCGGCCAGGGACAGGTTGGGCTCCATGGCTCAGGCGCCGCCGCCGGGCATCCC